CGTTCTGGCTATTAGGTACGACATATATATATATATATATATATATGCACAGGTTCCTGTCCTTCTCAAAATAAATTAACCGTCTCTTTACCACCCTGGGATCCTCGGTTGTGATCCGAGAACGTAGACCACTCCGCTAGACGTCCAATTATGTTCTGTTATATTTTCTACTGTCACAGGATGGATATAATAGGGTGCATAATAAATTAAAGAGGTACTCACCTAGTTGTGCTTGCGGTGGTTGAGTTTAAGCCCTTTGGTCCCGCCTCTCAACTGGTGTCCAGATTCCTGAGCCTACTGGACTCTATCATATCTACATTTAAGTATACTAAATATACAAGTATACTACAGGTCGTTACAGTGAGACGGTAGAATGATCCACAACACCGTTGCTTAACAACACACTGAGAAGACTTAAGACTTGCAGACGAGGAGTCACACTAACGTGGCTGAAATATGTTGACCAAACTAAGTCTATGTTGAGCAGACTTATTAAGACTTACAACACAGTTCCGGGCCTGATGAAGTGCACACAAGCGGACTGCATCTTCCAACACGAGTAGCGGAGGAGGAGCAGCCATGTGTGGGGGTGCCGGGATCACAGAGCACACTGAGGACTACACACTGAAGACACCCCTGGCACACTCCACCTTAGTGGCCCTCACAGCACATGCTTGTTCCACTCACGTTCACTCACACTTCCGTTCTCGATATTATTTAACCTCTCCTCATACTCTTCCCAGAATCAGAGAGGAAAATGAGATTGGCTTTGTTTGTTTACAAGCCAGCACGTGGGGGTATTGGGGGTGTTGTGTGGCGGGGGAATTATAAGTGCTGATGTTGGATACCTGATCCAGGCTCCGCCCACGACCTTACCCTCTCCCCCCACCAGGCGGGGAGAGGTTGCTAGGAGGGGGGGCAGGCTCACAATGCTCTCATTCACTACTCCCAAATCTTCTGGTAATACATTTTTTGGTGTAGTTCTATGCAGGCTAACACACACACACACACACACACACACACACAGGAATCTGTACACCAGTTGAGAGGCGGGACCAAAGAGCTAGAATACAACCCCCGCAAGCACAATTAGGTGAGTACACACACACACACACACACACACACACACACACACACACACACACACACAGGCCGGGGGCCAGTGGCTGAGCGGACAGCACGCTGGATGCGTGATCCTGTAGTCCCGGGTTCGATTCCCGGCGCCGGCGAAAAACACTGGGCACAGTTTCTTTTACCCTGATGCCCCTTTTACTTAGCAGTAAATAGGTACCTGGGAGTTAGTCAGCTGTCACGGGCTGCTTCCTGGTGTGTGTGTGGTGTGGAATAAAAAGTAGTTAGTAACAGTTGATTGACAGTTGAGAGGCGGGCCGAAAGAGCAGAGCTCAACCCCCGCAAGCACAACTAGGTGAATACACACGCACACAGAGGTATGCCGCCAGACTAGTCCGAGAACTGAGAGGTATGAGCTACGAGGAAAGACTACGGGAGCTAAACCTCACGTCTTTGGAAGACAGAAGAGTAAGGGGAGACATGATCACCACCTACAAAATACTCAGGGGAATTGACAGGGTGGACAAAGACAAACTATTTAGCATGACAGCCACGAACAAGGGGACACAGGTGAAAACTGACTACCCAAATGAACCACAGAGATATTAGAAAGAATTTGTCAGTGTCAGAGTAGTTAACAAATGGAATGCACTAGGCAGTAATGTGGTGGAGGCTGACTCCATACACAGTTTCAAATGTAGACTTGATAAGAGCCCAATAGGCTCCAGAATCTGTACACCAGTTGATTGACTGATGGATTATATTTTTGAGGGATTTGATGGAGTAACTGATCGGGGACCTGACCTCGGGTCTAACAGATTATGAGCCAACTGTGTTAACAACTGCAGCCTCGCATTGCAAGAACTGTCAATTTTAAAGGAACCGGAATCCATGCACTAGGCTGTCGAGATCCCCCATTGCTAAAATTGAGGCTGTTCATGTGGTCACCCATCCAGTTACTGGTCAAGAACAATGGCGTTAACCTGACTGGTGGAGCGACACACATCATCCACAGCGCCACGTCTGTGGATGATGTGTGTTTAAACAAAACAAAGCGGGAAGCCGCAGCAGGAACCTTGAACGCCAACCCCAGAACTGCTCAAGACAGTGTCATGGTACAAAGATAACGGTGGCATTCTTCTCCACATCCTCTCTTGCTCTTCCTCTTATTTACGTACACCCTTAATCTCCGTCTCTCCTCTCAACCAAGATATTATATTGAGATTTAATTTGATAATCCAGATGTATGTGAAACATATATAATTCATGATACATTTCATGGTTTACATTTATACGATAAAGTTTATTAAATAAATAATTTATAGTAATTTGAGGTCTTATTGTTAGTGTGCAGTGTGTGTACTCACCTAGTTGTGCTTGCGGGGGTAGAGCTCTGGCTCTTTGGTCCCGCCTCTAAACCGTCAATCAACTGGTGTACAGATTCCTGAGCCTATTGGGCTCTATCATATCTACACTGAAGAAGTTCTTTCTAACGTCTATGTGGCTCATTTGGGTACTCAGCTTCCACCTGTGTCCCCTTGTGCGTGTACCACCCGTGTTAAATAATCCATCCTTCTCTACCCTGCCAGTTCTTCTCAGAATTTTGCATGTAGTGATCATATCTCCCCGAGCTCTTCTGTCTTCCAGCGACGTCAGGTGCAGTTACCTCAGCCTTTCCTCGTAACTCATGCCTCTTAGTTCTGGGACTAGTCTAGTGGCATACCTCTGAACTTTTTCCAGTTTTGTCTTATGCTTTACTAGGTACGGGCTCCATGCTGGGGCCGCATACTCCAGGATTGACCTTACATATGTGGTATACAAGGTTTTGAATGATTCCTTACACAAGTTCCTGAAGGCAATTCTGATGTTAGCCAGCCTCGCATACGCCGCAGATATTATTCTTTTGATGTGGGCTTCAGGAGACAGGTTTGGTGTGATATCAACCCCGAGGTCTGTCTCTGTTCGCTTCGTGAAGGACTTTATCTCCCATTCTGTATCTAGTGCCTGGCCTCCTATTTCCTCCCCCTAGTTTCATTACTTTATATTTACTTGGGTTGAACTTTCGTAGCCATTTGTTGGACCATTCATTCAGTTTGTTTAGGTCATCTTGTAGCCTCATACTATCTTCCTCCGATTTAATCTTCATAATTTGTGCATCATCCGCAAATATTGAGAGGAACGAGTCTATTCCCTCTGGGAGATCATTTACTTGTATCAGTGTGTGTGTGTGTGTGTGTGTGTAAATCACGAACACACACACAATATATATATAATCATTTTACAATGACATATATATCATTTGCATAGTTTTCTAATGATGACGTGAGTCCATGGCTTGGCGTTTATTTAATGCATGACGCATTTGATGAGGTCATGAAGAGAAACATTGTGAGAGGCTGTGATGAGTAAGATCATCACCGTGACTGCGTGCCTTCTTTAGCACAAGTGCTCAACACCTCACTTGAAGTTGCACACTTAGAAGGTGTATTTAATTCTAATTTTGTCTTACAGTACACACAGCCCCGCTCCTGTGCCAGGTAAGTCCAATACGGGCTCACCATAGCCCGTGCTACTTGGAACTTTTTGTTCCCAGTAGCTGAATGTATAACAACTTACATTACATTTTGTAATAATTAATAATGTATTTTTGCCCGAAACGCTATGTGTATTAGTGGCTTTAGGTATTGTATGTACTAGCTCTATCTATAAATCCAACATTATGTTTGTAAATCAACTATGTACTTGAAAAAAAAAATAATTTAGTTTAATGTTATAGAATCATTTCAAATTTGGAAAGTTTGTGATTCAAGAATGACATCGTTAGCATAACCTAGTTCGATAAATTTATTATCATTTTATGTTAGTTTATTTGTAAATATTATTTGGACCGTATTAAACTGTAGACTTTTGGATCACATGAGTATAAAATTCTTGCATAACTCTTAAACTTACTAAAGTGTTGAATTGTGATATTATAACTGTGAAGGAAGCGTCATATCTGTCATATCTGACTGTCATATCATATAGCCTCGCGTGCACACATCTGACTGTCAGCAGAACTATTCGCATACTTTGCGTCATTATATAATGCAATGTGAAAAAAAATCGCGGAATTTAGAGATAACACCATCAATGGTGTTCAAGAAATGTGTAAGTACGTCATTTATAATGATGTGCTTCCCGAAATCTTAGCGAAGTATCCAAAATTTGCTTATTGTAAGTAATGCATGCACATGACTGTAAAGCTGCCGCCCAGTTGGGTGGGTGTGGAGCACATGACTGTAAAGCTGCCGCCCAGTTGGGTGGGTGTGGAGCACATGACTGTAAAGCTGCCGCCCAGTTGGGTGGGTGTGGAGTACATGACTGTAAAGCTGCCGCCCAGTTGGGTGGGTGTGGAGCAAGACTAGTAACTGTGTGACTCACTATAGATGTAAAGTGCCTTGTATAGTGACTGTTGTGAACCTCTTGTTTATATATGCAATGTTATATACGCTATATTAACATAATATGACCAGTGTTGAGAGATCAGTGTCTAGATTAATTTATATTTGGTCTTGCCGCTGAATTAACTTGACCTTTCAGCCTTTTATACCTGAAGTTCATTATCTCTCTAGTGGCCTCAACGGGGACAGGAAGCCGGCAGGTTATCAAAGGTCCCCTCCCATAAGTCCTGCATATTTATTTTCAAGCTGGAGTTTGAATTGCAACAATGTTTTGACATTAAATTAACAGCTTCGGAAAGTAGGCTTTATAGCCTATTTAGGCGGGTAAAGAAAGCCCCGAAATGATTTTTGAAATTAAAAATTTTTGAATGTGGAAAAATGAACAGTATTTTCCATACGTCTATGTTAATGATGGACGTTTTTGTAAATGATTATTACAAGTAATTCTACATTAACAATGGCGTAGAGGTAGGAAATAATACTCACATATTAGCTGGAGAGATGAGGTGAAGTCACTTAGGGAACTTTTGAGCAGCGTGTGAGCACTGAGGAAGTCTCTGAGCAGTGTGTGAGCACTGTGGGAAGTCTCTGAGCAACGTGTGAGCACTGAGGAAGTCTCTGAGCAGCGTGTGAGCACCGAGGGAGTCTCTGAGCAGCGTGTGAGCACTGTGGGAAGTCTCTGAGCAGCGTGTGAGCACTGAGGAAGTCTCTGAGTAGCGTGTGAGCACCGAGGAAGTCTCTGAGCAGCGTGTGAGCACCGAGGAAGTCTCTGAGCAGCGTGTGAGCACTGTGGGAGTCTCTGAACAGCGTGTGAGCACTGAGGGAGTCTCTGAACAGCGTGTGAGCACTGAGGCAAGTCTCTGAGCACCGTGTGAGCACTGAGGGAGTCTCTGAGCAGCGTGTGAGCACTGTGGGAAGTCTCTGAGCAGCGTGTGAGCACTGAGGGAGTCTCTGAGCAGCGTGTGAGCACCGAGGGAGTCTCTGAGCAGCGTGTGAACACTATGGGAAGTCTCTGAGCAGCGCGTGAGCACCGAGGGAGTCTCTGAGCAGCGTGTGAGCACCGAGGGAGTCTCTGAGCAGTGTGTGAGCACTAAGGGAAGTTTCTGAGCAGCGTGTGAGCACTGAGGAAGTCTCTGAGCAGCGTGTGAGCACCGAGGAAGTCTCTGAGCAGCGTGTGAGCACCGAGGAAGTCTCTGAGCAGCGTGTGAGCACTGTGGGAGTCTCTGAACAGCGTGTGAGCACTGAGGGAGTCTCTGAACAGCGTGTGAGCACTGAGGCAAGTCTCTGAGCACCGTGTGAGCACTGAGGGAGTCTCTGAGCAGCGTGTGAGCACTGAGGGAGTCTCTGAGCAGCGTGTGAGCACTGAGGGAGTCTCTGAGCAGCGTGTGAGTACTGTGGGAAGTCTCTGAGCAGCGTGTGAGCACTGAGGCAAGTCTCTGAGCACCGTGTGAGCACTGAGGGAGTCTCTGAGCAGCGTGTGAGCACTGTGGGAAGTCTCTGAGCACCGTGTGAGCACTGTGGGAAGTCTCTGAGCAGCGTGTGAGCACTGAGGAAGCCAGTCGACGCTCCATATCTTATCACGCTTCTAACCTGTCGTACCCAATCATTTCTTTCAGTCCTTTCGTATGATTTCTTTGGTTTTAGTTGCGCAAAATGAGCATGAACAATACATACAGGAAGAGCATATCATACACTCGCTCCGTCTCCTCCCCCCCCCCCACCACACGCATGAGCAGACGGTGATCTTGGGTCATAGTCCTAAGGGCCCGGGTTCGATCCCCGGCGGAGGCGGAAACAAATGGGTAGCGTTTCTTTTACCCTAATACCCTAGTTCACCTAGCAGTAAATAGGTACCTGGGAGTTAGACAGCTGCTACGGGATGCTTCCTGGGGATGTACTCACTTAGTTGTGCTTGCGGGGGGGGTTGAGTTCTGTCTCCTTGGGCCTTACTGCCACTATCTGAGATATTCTAATATTTGTTGAGTCCGAATTAGCTTTAAATGAGGATAATAATGAGATCTCTCTTTTTTAGCCTATCAAATACCGGTCTAATCAGCACTCTATGGGGTTTTGGAGACTATTGTTTGGGTGATATAAAGGAGTTACTTTACTGTGTACTTTGGTACGCCTGATGCAGTGGTTTTATCCCGTGTTTTTCATTATAAACAAAACGACTCAATATTGGTAGACCTCGGGCCAGATTCACGAAGCAGTTACGCAAGCACTTACGAATCTGTACATCTTTTCTCAATCTTTGATGGCTTTGTTTACAATTATTAAACAGTTAATGAGCTCAGAAGCACCCGGAGGCTGTTTATAACAATAACAACAGTTGATTGGGAAATTTTCATGCTTGTAAACTGCTTAATAAATGTAACCAAAGCCGTCAAAGATTGAGGAAAGATGTACACGTTCCTAAGTACTTGCGTAACAGCTTTGTGAATCCGGGTCCTCTTCCGTAGTTAAATCTTATCAGCCCGTTCTCACGATTTGAGAGGCGTCAAATATGAAGTGATTTTGGCGAACCAGGAAGCGTGGGTTCGATTCTCGGCAGACAGAAGCAAATGGGCAGTTTCTTTCACCCTGATCCTACTGTTCAACTAGCAGGAAAATGGATACCTGGGAGTTAGACAGCTGCCACAGCCTGCTTCCTGGGGATGTGTGTGTTGGAGAGAAATATATGTAGGAAACGTAATAGAGGAAAAATAGATTGGTTAGAAAGGCGGGGTCCAAGAGCTAATAGCTCGATGCTGTAGGCTCAAATAGTAAATACATGATTTTGGGAGGTGGATGTGCTTGGTTTGAAATTGAAATTGAAATAAGTTTATTGAGGTAAAATACACACAAAGGGATGAGGTAGCTCAAGCTATTCTCACCCCGTTCAGTACATCGTGTTAATACATACATATAAACACATCACAAACAATAAACATATTACCAAACATTCTGAGAGATAAACATACATATCCTATGTGCTTGGTTGAGTTAGTCATGCTGTCAGAGGAGCCGTTGCCTCATGCTGAATAACCTTACCCGTTCAAAAATTCAAAATTCAAATATTTATTCAGGTAAAGTACATACATACAAGAGGTTAAATAAAAATTGCTAGATTTATAGATAACAGCTAGTACATACAATGCCTTAGTACATACATAAAAGAGATTAAACAAAAATTGATAGATTTATAGATAAGAGCTAGTACATACAAAGCCTAAAGCCTTACGCAAAGCGTTTCGGGCAGAATATGATGGAGAATTCGTCGGTGTAGCGAGGGACATGTATGCTGTCCTATATGGCGAGTCTCATGCAGTTCCACGTCCGTGTTTCCTCACTGTCAGGCGTTCCCGAGACGTTGTTATCAAATAATGATTATAAACTGAGAACCCTGAGCTGATGTTGACGCTTGTCATGGCTCATGTGGCTCAAGAGGCTTCGCACATTTCTCACACACTCGATGCTTGTGAGGCTTGTCCCTTCTCTTCTCAAGGCATCTCTCCCTTATGTGGATGTCTGGGATGGATGTCTAAGGCAGTGTCTGGGATGCTCCCGGACGCAGGTTCGAATCCTCGTCACGGCCCTTGTGGATTTGATCCCTTATGTGTTCATCAAGTGGATCTGTCGACTTGTAGTGACATGTAGTATAGTGATTATGTGTCACTATACTGATTGATGAAGATTAAGCCACCCAAAAGGTGGCACGGGCACGAATAGCCCGTAAGTGGTGGCGCCCTTTTGAGCCATTAGTATCAAGAGATGATACTGAAGATCTGTGGAGGTGCGACTGCACTCTGCGTGACGGGAGATGTCTCCCCTGTGTCACTATACTATGTGTCAGACACATTAATAGTGACACAACCACCTCTACTTCTGACGTCAAGTTTTCTTAAGTTCTACCATAAGCTTCTGGGAATAAGTGACACAACTAAACTAAATTTGGGAGAGCAATTCAGCAATTCAGTTTCGAAATATTCCATGAATAAACTGCCAAAGTGTGTGTGTGAGTGGATTCCACATTCCTAAGTCACACTTCTGTCGTTAGAGCCCAAACACTTGGACTGGACGGTAGAGCGGACGGTCTCGTTTCTTGCAGGTCGGCGTTCAATCCCCGACTGTCCAAGTGGTTGGGGCACCATTCCATTTCCCCGTCCTATCCCAAATCCTTATCCCCTCTAAGTGCTATATGTTCATAATAGCTTAGCGCTTTCTCCTGCTAATTACCTTACCTTCTAACTACAGAACAATGTATTAACCAACTTAATTGTTCTCATATACAGTTTTAGGTGTTATAGATGATTATAATTACATCATTCCAGAGCTGCACGTTATCAAAATACTTACCACAGGTGAAGGAAAGACCCACATTGCTATATATAAATCTACATATAAGTTAAATTGTAGCTTTTAGCAACAGAAATGTATTTAACAGACGCTAGAACATGTATAAAAATGCATACTGGTAATTATTCTACGAGTTACAGCCCCGCTCCTGTGCCGGATAAGTCCACTACGGGCTCACCATAGCCAGTGCTACTTTGGAACTTTTGTTCCAAGTAGCTGAATCTAAAACAACAGCAATTATTCTACCTTTTGCTGTCCAGACATAGAACCCTGACAATAATACATGCATATATGTACTTACTTGGATTGATTTGAAACACAAGATATTTTTATTTGTATCAATAAGTTCCTAATTAAATCTAATTATATTTAAAGCCTTGGTTATTACTAAATATAGATAGCCGTACTGTCTTAGTGTTTTGTTTGAATAATTACTTTCATAGGTGTCAGTCTCTATATATATTAGGTTTGTGTATTTCGATTATCTCTTATTGAGTTTTAAGTATTTCGAAGTATATATATATATATAATATATATATATATATATATATATATATATATATATATATATATATATATATATATATATATATATATAATATAAGCCGTAAACGCTGTTAAATTTCAAAATCTAACTGGGAAAGATCATGAGGACAAATGGGGGTGGGACCTTTGACAAGCCGCCGGCTTCTTGTCCTCGTCGAGGCCACTAGTGTTAGTAGCCCTTAGGTAAATATATATAAGATTTAATGAAATTACTTGCATCACGAAAGATGCTAAGATATGAGACTGGAACTACTTAAATTGCCCTAACGATCGTTTCAGCTCAAATTGTTAGACATGTAATGCTGTACATATTATATTTACCTTTTAAATCGTGGCAGACAGCTCCAGGTGGCCTGTGGTCGCTCCACTGTGGGCATCATCCTTATTAATTTCCACTTCCGATTTTTAAAATTTGCAATGTCCATCTCGGGGTAATAGTGAAGCATTCCGTGGCTACCACAAAGATATCTTCAGACGTGGAGAGTTCTCACTTCATTAATATTAACTAAAAAGCCGTATGCATGACAACTTTTCGCAGGAGACGCGATGGTTAGTGTGTGTGCACCGCGCCGGTGGTCGCTCCTGACTACTCCCGGTGAAGTATGAGAGAGTTAGTCACTCCCTGACATGTCAAGTCTCAGTGATTGTAAATCTTGCGCAATAATCTCCTATCTCACTTTCGCAACTCAATACTTCACTCATTTTCAGTAAATACACATTAACAATATAGTAAGACGCAAGTGAATTCTGATAAAGGGGATTCTTAGAATCCCCTCAGAAAGGGGATTGTGGTAACCTTGATCGCTACTACATGTCTTATTTGCTTAAACAGACTTAATTGCACATTATCTAAAAGTTGTTCTTCTCTTTGGCCTTGATTCTTACTGTGTGTAAATGTCAGTATGGAGGAGAGTGAACACATGGCATCTCAGCGTCCTGTACATGATAAAAACGTCCGGTGCAACGCAGGCTCGTCCTAGAGGAAAAAAATATCCTCTGGGCTATTTTTTTAACTAAAAAAATATATCATAATTTCAGCGCCAAGCACACGACGTTGCTACAACATTCACACTTGTAACCGCCAATATAGCAAGTTGTAATAACGCTCTAATACGTTATAAAACCGTTATAACAAGATGTAACAATTTTATTACAAGTTGTAACAAGGGAATCATAGGGACCGTTACGTTGTGTGTTTGCGTGGTTTAGATTAACAAATTTAAATGTTTAAATTTAAACATTTAAATTCAAAAATTTAATTTAGGTATGAGTACCAAGAAGCAACGTACATACTAGGAAAATTAATCACCGTTCGGTTTAATTAGCCTTACTCAACGTCCATGAATTTGAGTTATTTCTGTGGGAGTGTTTTGGAAAAAAGGGGGAATTAGGCCTAATAGTGTTATTTTTATAAAATTATTAAAGTAAACTTGAAAAAGATGTTTCCTTAGGCAAGTCAAGTGATGGGAGCGGCTGTATTTACCTATTTATGCTTGAGGGGTTGAGCTCTGGCTCTTTGGTCCCGCCTCTCAACTGTCAATCAACAGGTGTACAGGTTCCTAAACCTATTGGACTCTATCATATCTACACTTGAAACTGTGTATGGAGTCAGCCTCCACCGCTTTGTGTCCAAGTTTAAGCTTGAGTCGCTGGGTGAAGTTCTCAGTTTACAGTGAAACAACAAAACGGTCAGAGGAGTTGTCACCTTCAAGTAAACTAATGATCTATTAGTTTACTGATCATTCACCATCAGTAGACTTCACGGGGACGCAGATGGCCAACCCGCTGCTGATCGACACAGTAAACCCGATAGATTGCTCTCTGGATTGTAATTTTGCAAATGGAACTTGACAATTATCCAATATTTATGGAAATTAATGCTTAATCAACTGATGGATCAAACCTGCACGTTGTTATAAATTATGAACATTATGAACCGATCGCCTGAATAAACTTTAAAACACTCAACGTTTGGCCTCCCTTTGTCATAAGGGGTGATGGCTCCTTTGTCATGACGGGTGATAATAACCAGTGACCTAGTCATTGTTTTGATAAGACATACGGTATCTTTCCATTGTGACGGCGGGATGCCATTGTCATGACCATAGGTGCACCAACCCCTCTCTGGCGGTTCCGTGTAATTACCTAAGTGTAGTTACAGGATGAGAGCTACGCTCGTGGTGTCCCGTCTTCCCAGCACTCTTTGTCATATAACGCTTTGAAACTACTGACGGTCTTGGCCTCCACCACCTTCTCACCCAACTTGTTCCAACCGTCTACCACTCTATTTGCGAAAGTATTGTACACACTCTGTGTGTACAGTATCAAGTGTGCGTGTAATTACCTAGGTGTAATTATCTTAAGTATAGTTACAGGATAAGGGGCTATACGCTCGTGGTGTCCCTTGTGTGTGTAGGGATTCCGTGAGGACGTATTTATATGATACTAGTTATTGATTAAAGCAGTGATTCTAAACATTTATTTGGGGGTGGGGAAGAACCCTTGAAATATTTAATCTTGGGAAACTCCTAACTGGCGTTAGAATTTTTTTTTTTTTTTTTTTTTTTTTTTTTTTTTTTTTTTGGTCGACCGCTCCTGTGCCAGGCAAGTCCACCACGGGCTCACCATAGCCTGTGCTACTTGGAACTTGTTCCGAGTAGCTGAATCTATAACAACAACAACCTAACTGGCCGACACATTGTTCGACAGGGAACCCCTGTACCTGGCCGACACACATTAGGTTCGACATGGGTAAATTACAAAATAGATGTATAAAACAGTGGTTTTAATAAATAATAATAACTTATAATTTTGAATAAAATATTACAAAAGTATTTATTGCCTATTTCTATTTCTGAGCAGTCCCCATAGCGCAGTGGTAAGACACTCGCCCGGCGCTTTGCGAGCGTTTTGGCCCGGGCTCGTATCCTGGCCGGGAAGGATTGACTGGGCACCAATCCTTAGCTGTACGCCTCTGTTCACCCAGCAGTGAATGGGTACCTGGGTGTGAAACGATTTAGGGTCATATTCCGGGGAAAATTAGGATTAAAGACCTACTCGAAACGCTATGCGTGCTAGTGGCTTTACAAGAATGTAACAACTCTTGTTAAAAAAAAAAAAATAATTATTACTGTTAATGTAAAGCGAAAATGTTTGTTATTTTTTATCTGGCTAACTGGCTACAAGCATTCTCTCTATATTTTGCGATGATTTTGTATTAATATTTTTTTGTTTAGAAAACTGTTAAAAAAAAGTTAATTTGTTTTATAATACATTCACAATTGCAAATATTAAGTTTCCATAGGATAAAATTGATTTTGTGTATCCTAATTTATTGTGAAACTTGGGCTTGCATCTTTTACAGGGGATGCATGAAATTTATTTTTTTTATTAATACATCACATTAAAATCTTAATTTAAATTGTTTATTACTCAATTACAAGAGGTGTCTGATTTTACTTTTTCGCAAGCTTTTGCAAATTCTCGTGGAACTGCTGTACAATGTTCTGAGGAACCCTAGTTTAGAATCGTTGCTTAAAGGAATCAAGTTATGTTTGTGGCAACACAACTTCATACATTATAAACATTTATACAATTTTCAAGGGTTTTGAGCCACACTGTCTCTCTTGGATACCATATAAGCAGCTTAGTGCTATGTAAAGAGATACTTCCTGATGGGTTCGTGTTCTAGACCACCTTGTGCGTGACGTAATCGGACCGCCTGTGGGAGTCAAATGACGATGTCTCTGGTTTATGTTAAGTGTCAAATGTATGACTTACATCAGGGGGAGTCTATTGATGAGAATAATAGCTGTCAAGTCACAATAATGATTGAATTCTACATGTGATCTTGGTTATTCTTAACTCTAGAATCACCGATTCATCTCATTATGCATAACACTTCTATGGAACACTAAGTAAATTTAATATTGTATAATACGATAAATTTTATACAAATGTTCTTGCTTACAGTGATTAAACAAGTACAGTAATATTATCCATGTACAATTTGGATATTACAGGATATTAACTTCTCAGCAGAAGCAGAAGCAGAATTTTAATTTCAATCTGTCAAATGAAGGACAGCTACCAAGAGAGCCTCTCTGTAAAGATTTTACTACCTCTAGCATATTTGCCATGCCCTAGCCTCCAAATCTTATTTTCAAAGGAAAAATAAAGAGACCTTTATTAGAGAATGAAAACAGGGGAATCTCAAAATTATAATGAACCACAGAATTTGTTTCTAAATATGCACGGTGACTTTTCCAAGGCCCAAACTATTTTTTGCAATGTTGCCTCCAACTGTGAACTCGGTCCCAACATCCGTAGCAAATCCCCACATCCCATTTCAGTGAAATTTTGTCATATCAGGTTAGTAAATCTGACATGTAAAGTGTGTGTGTCTCAACTGGATATTAAGGTTCGTTGAATTAAGGTTCCACTGTTTGCTCCAAAAGTCAGACTTTAAACAGTAATGTAAAATTAAGACTACTAAACTGGCGGTGAAGCTCAAAGTTTGATGATCTACTCCCGATTTTTTACCATTGCTCCACTGTGATTGACATTTAATACACACATTCTCTGTACAGTAATTAAGAACATTGGACGAGGTTTAAAATTAAAACGCTAAGATATATTTTCAGATTGAAGTGTATTATAAATTGAGAACATAAAAGGGTACAAGGAACACTCCTTGACTGTAGCATTTCATTATGAATATTACTACAGTATAAACAATGACACTCGAATGTATTAAAACTTTTAGAGAATAAATTAATCATTCTATTATAGCTCAACAACATTGCATTTGCCTTATCATTAATACAAAATATACACAACTGAACACAAGTGACTTTACATTGTTAAATTCTAGGAAGTTGCATGTCCAGACATACACAATTATCCAGTAATTACTCAGTAATTATTCACTAATGCTGTAAATAAATAAATTCAGTAATACAGTCAATGATATTCATATATGAAAAACAAATAAGTTTTAATGTCACACTTAATATTGTACATATGTAGTTATATTTATCTACTTTACCGCTGAAAATAAATTAAAAACAGGTTATCGTTATACAATGTAATAAAAAAAATTTCTGAATTGCTGATAATATTAGCATAATAAATATTTAACCAGTACTACAATGGATGATAAATGTTATTATCTTGACTCAGTAATATAAATGATCACAGTGAATGTAAGTGAACAGAAAATATTAAGGCTACCTTGTACTAATTCATATCCAAGCCTAAGTTATTGATGCACATTACCAACCACCTTACAGTACTTTAATTGAACATTTGTGTTAACCAGTTAACTGTCATCAACAAAATTTTGCATGCCAGATATTCCAATAGAAGTAACACTTGAAAAATAATATACACTCCAGTAAAATACAATGAAAACATTTATGAGCTTTTCATTACATACTTATTGTTGAGCTTTGTGTTTATAAAAAGTTTTGTTGATAATATTTTGGGCATATAGGAGGCCTGGTTGACGACCGGGCCGCGGGGACGCTAAGCCCCGGAAGCACCTCAAGGTATATGAATCTTTGATTTAAGGCATGTACTGATATTTTTATTTGCTGTTGGGATCTGATATTCAGTTGGCAGCGTGCAAAATGTTCAGTGTGTTACTGAACTATGTTAATATTAGCTCCCCTGTGTCTAGATAATGCTGTTTTGGATGAAAAAGTTTAATGACAATACAAGCTGACAAATAATATAAAAAAAGTATCACTTATTCAGTTTTTAATTCTCTCTGATTTAGCACAAAATTTAGCCAAACATTGAAAGTAATATTAAAAGCTTTGAGACTTTCACCCCATTCTTCTACAACAGTTATGCTCTTGCAATATATAAAGTACGTTGAATTTTCATTTGTAAGGCCTTGATCTTGATATTCTTGGGAATGGTACTTACGTCACTCCTGAATATCATAGTTTTCTGTGGCAAGAACTATCCACTGGATAATAATAACCAATATTAAAAAGTATTGACAAATTAAAAATTTTACCGTGGCACCGAACCATAGAATAATTAAAATGCTCTGTGATTACTGTCAGAATACAGCACATGTTTTTAATGTATTATATCTGTTACAAATAATACAGTTGTACACTTCACACAATGACTGGGAAACCAATAATATTCTACTGTACTATAATACATTAACCAGATGGGGTATATAATCAGAGGAACACAAACTCTTCGGAATCTTGAGGGAGGAGTGGGGTATCTCCTGGTAGAGAAGCGGCCATTTCATCTTCTGTAGTAACTTGTCGAGCGCAGGCGTCGGCATCTTCGCACCGACCATCCAAGAACTCAAATATTGGGTATTCAAATCCTGGCTGCTTGGGTGTAACAAGCTGCAACAAAATAAGTATATTATATATACAGAATAAGAGCTGTTAAATGCTAAGTGTGCTTTTTCAATTTCTTTTTCAAATCATAGCAGCTCAAAAGATTTTAATCTTTTGAGGTCAGAAAAGATTATTTGCACCAGTACATACAATTAAGAAAAACTTGAAAAGGCCTAGATTTGAATATTTAATTTGATAACATAGGAAACTTGATGCCTAGCATGCATCTGGAAGTTGTAGGTGCAAAATGCCATCAATCTGCAGTGCACAAAAGCAGTTGAATAATCTGAATGCAATTAATTTGTTATAGCCTTCCAAAATCTAAAACTGACAAGTACTGTATGTCAAAATATATGTAACAGGTACACACACTACAATTTATAAACAAGTGCACTAGGTATTCACTGATTTCAATGGCATCAAAATATAATCAAATCAGGGGACATTAAAGAAATACAATCTTAGCATATTCATTACAAAATGCATTGAAAAAGCACACATTAAAAGCAACACACATACATGCATAGTACCCCACATATATATACATGTATGCTAATTATTAGACTAATCTTAAGAAATCCATACTTTTATTGTAGTTAATAAGAACAGTTGAATTTTTGAAGCTCTTACCTCTGGAAGTTCCTCCATCAGTCGTAAAAAGTCTAGTCTTGAGTGGCAGTAGAAGCCCAAGGTAGCAGAAGGGTCCATGCGGGAAAGTGCCATTTTGCGTGGGGAAGAACAATGGTAGGAGGAAAGAGAGAAATATTGCTGGGTCACCATGACAGCATCTTGGCAAAGGTGTGGGTCCAAGTGGATCAGTGAATCATCTGACAAATAATCAAATGTATTAGCTAGCAAGCTGTTGAAATTCACCATGAAAGAATTTTTAATTCAATGTATACTGTGACCATCCTAGTCTAGTTAGTAAATCAACATATATTTTACTCCAAGGAAACTACACTAGAAAAAAGTAATAGGGTAATTTTCCTTCCACTGAAGGTTTGTTGCCCTCAAATTTCCTGCTCTCTGCAAGAAGCTCTCAATTCATCAGTAAATAGGCCAAAAATAATGTGTATAATATTTACTACACCATACTCTTGTCAAATAGGATGGATTGCTATGTAGTGTTTATTATAATAAAATAAAAATCGAGAAAATTGAGAAAAGAGAATGAACTGTAATTTGATGAGTACAGTTATTGGTGGTACACTGTACTGCATAATAATACCAGTATTACAGTGGAACCTCGATACTCAAACTTAATTCGTTACATAAGGCTGAGTACTGATCTATTCAAATACAGTACTTACTACCGAATAATTTTTCCCGTAAGGAATAATTTAAATTGGATTAATGTGTTCTTGACCACATAAAATACACATATAAACACAATAAATTGATGAAATAAGTGCAAATTCAGTCTCACTTTACCTATACTTTACTTAGGAGAGTTAATGGCATATGTGGAAGGGAGAAAGGGGGGGGGGGGGAAGAGATATTATTGTTTGATAGGGGGAGTCCCCTTCCATAAAAACATCAGGAAATTGTGCTTCTGGGGATTCTTTCTCTTTTCTATCTTTTTCTATTTCCCTCTTGAGACTCGCTGGATGCTTTTCGTACAAGGAAACCTGTCCATTGATGCTTGTTTTTGAACAGGCACTACTTTCATATTTTGCTGAGAGTTTTTTTTCATCTCTATTGTGGTTCTAACTAATTTTCCTTTCATTTGACTCTTATCATTAACCTTCTTAGGCACCATGTTGACTTATATTTATGTAAAGAATATAAAAAAATATCCAAGAAAACACAATGTTTACAGAGAAGTTTAGTGGGGTTGTGCCCTGAACAACAACTACAGTACTGGGAAACTGACTCGTCTGGTACACATGTTTATGTTTGAGTGCCGAGCAAAGTCTACTACCGAGTGTTTTTGTTCTCAAGTGTTTGAGTGCCAAATTGTTTGAGTTTGAAGCCGTTCGAGTGCCGAGGTACCAGTGTTTTTGGAATGCACACAAGTTCTAATCTTGTGTAGCTGGAAATTACAAAGTGTAACAATTATTTTTACCATGAAATAGTTTTTTCTTTAATAGCACAGCTGGAAAGAGCGGGTCTCTTATAAGAAACATAATACTGTACAGTAATTTTAATAAATTAATTTTTAAGCCACAATTTGACTGTAGTTTAAGACACGTTTAACCAAAATATGCAAGAATTCTAGGAGCTATTGTGATTAAAATGTAGAAAATTCTTTGCAATATAGCACTAAATAGGCATTGATAAAACAAATGTAAAGTTACTGTTTAAATACTAATAAGATTATTCATTATGTTCCATGTATTGGGGTATGGTCCATCTATAAACTTAATGTGTGCATATACACATTGTAAGAGGCATAGACAAGGTGTTGATTGACTCTCTTCCAGCTTGTATTTATTTATCTGAACTTCCCTGAGGTAACGTTACCATCTTTCTTTACTGGCATCAACAGGGACAGGAAGCCAACAGATTGTCAAAGGTCATGACTAGTATTATATGCATTTGGTATTACTGTACTTATTTTCTGCATATCAAATTACCTTTATTTTATTGTATATATATATGTATATATATATATATGTATATATATATATATATATATATATATATATATATATATAACATTCAATTAATTAATGAATGTTAAACACACCATACCTTGGAATCCCACAAAGTAGAGCGAGTGCCTTGGTCGTCCTCCAATGATGCCAACACATAAGTCGTGCGTAAAGAGAGAATATAAACATGGAGCGTATATAGGATTTAAAGCTTCACCTCCTAATCTAATAGGGACCATTACCAGAACAGATCTCCAATTATCACACACTGAACACTGCTCAAATGATTGGCTGCCCACAAGTCCATCTTGTTTTTCTCGATTTACACTTTCATCCGTTTCTTGGTCATTAACACCCGTGGATAAATTTGACGAGAAGAAATGCCACTTCTGTGTCTGTCTCGACATCTCTGTCTGGGAATCTTTACAACATTTTCCATTCATGATTATTTCAGAGTCTAGTCCAGTATCCTGTTCCACTTCATTTTCTTGACAATATCTTTTCTCACTACTTAACTTATTTCCGTCCATTTGGTCAGCCTTAGAAGCCTTTTTAAACACTGGGGAGGAACCAAGTTTATCAGCTGGAAGTGAAAATCCTCCTTGAGGCACAGTAGATTTTCTTTTATGAATAACTTTTGCCACGTTAATAAGATTGCCTTTATTACACACACAGGAAGAGAAGCAGAGGTCCAAAACATCTTGGATGTATACTGCAAAATACAGTAAAAGGAAATTTTGTATATTAGTGCATAATTATAAGATTATGGTGGTTATATGAATAACCTGTTCAAAATTATCGATTTTAATTTAATTAATTTTTTAACAGAATTACTTTTGTTTTAATTCTAAAAAAAAATCTTTTGATGCAAATCAGAGAACTTAAATATTAAAGGATGAATAAAATGCTTAAAATTACAATGTATATTTTACTTGTATAAAATATATTCAAAGTAAAATTAGTAATGAATTATATGTGGCTATTTCTGCATTCTTGCGTGAATAATTTACACCAAAATAAAAGTGTTGAGTGTAATGAAATGTCCCTCTATGGGTGTGACCTGAGTAGGTTCCCTGAGCTTATATGGCACTGACTGTTAGGTGATGATAGTCAAGGCAGGCTTCCGAGACAATCTCATCCCACTGGGCATAAATGCTATTTTGTACCACGTTGCCTTCATAATGGGGGCAGAGGACTAGTGGAGACCAGAGATCAACCCACTGAGGTAAACTATCAGTAAGAAAAAGGTGTGTTTAATTACAATCACACCACAGTATATTGTATTTCTGAGTAGGTCTCCTCAGTAGCTCCTCTTTCTCTTGTGAAACCTCATCGAGAAGGATATAGTGTATTTTGTGAAATCACACACACACACACACACAAGGAAAGGAAAACATATCAAGAGAGCCGACATGTTGTGATCAACATCTAGGACGACCAAGGGTAGGGCAGGAAGACTACCTCAGAAGCAAGGAATGTGGCTGGAGCCACACAGAAGCGCTGGGTCCAGATATAAACCGTGGACATGACAAGGACCACTGTCAAAGCAGCATGCATAACAAAGCTACAGACCAAGAAGGCACAAGGGCTGACCGAAGGCCAGGGCCAACATGACAAACAGGGCAAAAAACAAGCAGGAATATCACCCGCTTTTTTGACAGGTAATTTGCAAACCATTGTGAAAACACACACAAGAAGAGCAATTATTGTCTTGAGTGACAGGTGACCCTCAAGATGGTCCTCTTATAAGCTATGCATAAACTGTGAGAATTTCAAGATGGATGATACATCACTGGAATGTTTACTGCTGGAGTACAGATGACGAGCTTTAGCATCATTGAAACATTAAAGTGTTAATTACTGTACTGTACTATCAAATGTATAACTTACCGGCACAATCTTGAGCAACATAAACACAAACTCTCTGTAAATCAGGAATGTACTTGGAGCCCATTTCCACAGCCTCTCTGAAAGGTAAAATTGTATAAATTTATGTTTGGTATTAGTTTACCATAATTAACATACCATTGAATATACTGAAAATGTTATTTCATCAGTTATGTTCTATTTTAACAAATTTCTTGAAAGGAGACACCAGGTCTCCATAGCCCATGACCACTTACTGGGGGTCCAGGGTCAGAAACCACCAGAGAACAGACCAAAAGACAAATCAGAAAGTTGAAACGTGGGTCATAGTTCTGATGTTCCCCAAGGCTTGGTTGCACCAGCTTGTAGCACTGGGGAGCTATTATGAGATTTGTCTATCCTAATTTACGTGTTATCAAAATTTGACTTACTTAAATATGTAAGCTACAGATGCTGGTCCATACCAATCCCCTGCTTTCTTTCCCAACTTTTGCCCAAAGTGAACCAAGTTATGAAGTGACAGTGGACAATGTGGTGACGGGGAGTCACCGAACCACCGCAAGATGCTTCGATGAACCAAGTCATCTGGTCCTGTTATATTCTTGTTGTATCGCCAGTCTGTATAAAAAAAAAAAATACCATTTTTTTTTAATGTAGCATTGTTTACAAAGCAGTTCCATGAATATTATGAATTACTGTCCTATAAATTGACAAACATTTGATAATGCAAATAATAATCACATTCTCTAATGCTGCTGAAGTCACATAATAATGGCTTAAGGCATCTTCATCGACTTGTTACAAACTCAATGTAGCAAGCAATTTCTAGTATAAAATACTTTAGGGGAAAATCTATCTTTGATGCCGTGTTCCTGTAAATACACATAAATAGAAATTACTGAAGGAACACTTGAGAATTACTTCAATCTTTCCCACATGTTGTTTTGGTCAACACTTGCTCATAAGTACGAAATGAGCATCAAGAAATAACAAGGATTGTCAGCATATAAAAATGGGAAGGGAAGACAATCAATCATCAAGACCAAGAACTGAACACGTATACTAAAGAGGCAATGTGAACATGGAGATAATGTACCAAACCGAACAGTACTTCAAGTCCAGTGCATCTAAAACAAGAAATCATTAATAAGATTAAATTTTATTCACATTTGAAAATTCTCATGAAGCAATGCTTCCATGTCAAACATCTGAACAATTAAGGTACCTTTTGTGAGGAAGTGTCGGATGAGAGCATGAGCTAGCATCATCTGGCCTGTTCTTAACATACAGCCCCAGCCACAATCAGTGGTTAGAGTAGAGTCCTGCAAGGTGGGGAACTGTCGCCGATATGTACACCATACTAGACTGTGAAAGTGGCGTTTGAATGCTTCCATGCCATGCCTCTCTACCTCTGTGTGAATAATGATAACAAAACATATTGAAATCTCACTTTTCTTGTTCTTAATTTCATGTATAGTATATTACAGGAGGTTATTTTTATACCATTTTTTTTAATTTTAATGTGAAAATACAGATAAATTTATCTTTGACACATACTACAAAAAAGAGAAACTTACCCTCCTCGGAATTCTCTTCATCTTCACCTAAACATTTATGATACACACAGCCTAGGAGGTAAACTGGTGAATCCCTTGAGAAATTTGTTTTTAGATTAACTGTCCAACCTGCAAAATACACATAATGTAATGAGGATTTGTAACTACATATGACATACATGCATATACAGTATATATTATGTACTGTATACCTAAACTCGTAAAACGAGTTTAAGAGCTTAAAAATCAAGTGTTGAGTGTAATTTTCTAGTTGGCTCTCAGTAGTTTCCCAAGCTTAACACTGATCCAGCCAAGCCTCAGGGATATACACCAGGCCTCCATGACCTGCTCTTGCCTTCAAGGAGCTAAGACCAAACAATCATTGCTATGGTGTGTAAACACCTTAATTTGTGTGGCTAAGAGACCACACAACAGATATCTTAAGGCCCCATCCAAAGAAAATGGACAAAAAACCCAAGGATGTCAAGGGTGGATCTCACAGGCCTGGTGCGTTTCCCAAAGGCTTGGCTCAACAGAGCTTAACTTGGTGAGCTACTGAAGGGATCTTCCCAGCAAATTATTTTGTAGTAAACTGATTCAGGGAATTATGATGTTCATTGGCATGTTTCATGCGTATTTATTACTGTACTGCATTTTAAGTTAACTCATAGAAGAATATTTATTTGATTGCTGGCAGATTCTATAAGCAAATTATGCAACTTGTGTATACCTGTAATAATAATAATAATAATAAAATTCGTAGGAGCCACAACTGAGTTGTGGTCTACCATGTTGTGACCTAGTTGACTAGGGCGTGTGCTTGGGAACACCCACCACATAGGTTCGAATCCTTATCATGGCTCCTACGAATTTTCTAATTGACACATCAAGTTAGTGTGATTATTCTGTGTGTAATAATAATACAGGTAATAATGCAATATTTACACAGTGGAATTAGGATTTCATTCAAATTGTCATGCAGTCATTGCAAGTTATGAACTTAAATGAGTGTAGGATATTTCATGAAACTAGTTAAAAACTTATTCACCATAAATTTAACTTTACAGATGCTAGGCATAAAAGCCAATTGCTTTATTTTATTAAAAAAATTACAGTGAACATCTACAGGAAGTACAAAAGAAAAAAAAAAGACACATGAACATTACTGCTAAGTTTACTAGACAAAAAAGTGTGTAATCCATTTAAAGGACTCAAAAACTTACCAAATTTAACATTATTCCATAATCCTAACATTTTTGTCTTGACAGAAGTCTCAGTCTCTGGAGTTGAGCCAGCACTCTTTGATTGTTGTTTTTCAGGACCAGAACTAAAATATGATTTGATAAATGAAGCAGACATAGCCAGTGTGTGAGATGGCGGCAAACTTCTCACTTTGGTGTTGGTAGTGCTCTTATTACCATCACTGGGCATACTGGTTTGACCTCTACCTGCAATGAGTTCCACACTGAGGGGTAAATAACTGTTGGACTGATTTGTACGGGTCTTCGTAACTGGTGTAATGGCTGGGGTAACAGTGCTCTTCAAAGTACTATCTTCAAGTTGTGATACAGGTTGTGGTGTTGCAATGTTCACACGCACGTTTTCTGCTGTGCTTGTTGGTTCGGGTGGAAGCTCCGGTATCGAGACACTCATGCCCCCTGCAGTCCTTACAAAAAATTTACCCGTGTCACGGTCAGAATTGGGAGATTTAGTGAGTTTAACTCGTGTTAATTTGTTACTCCGGTCTGTTGGTAAATTCTGTTCTTCAGCCATATGCCTCAAGCTTGGATCACGAGAGGGGTTATGCACATACACAAAATCATGCAGAAATCTTGGAGCCTCGATGCATTCCTGGGCCATAGGAATGGGCAAAGCAGTCTGGTTCCTCAGTTCATGGCTGCCACTGGAGGACCTTCTATGCTGATGCCGAGGACCTGCACGTCTACTAGCTACAGACTGAATACTGGGAATCATCCTTCATTTGTTGTGATGCTTTATTGACCCTGGAAAGAATATAAAGATGTTGTTAATATAGGCTACAGCACATCAGGCTGACCTAACAAAATGTATATACATGTACAGTATCTATAAAAGAGAACGAGTACCAATTTAACATGTGGTTTACATGACCATTGAAGCTAAACCACAATACTGTATCAGCCGAGGTCTTGGTAAACTGGTCAGGTCATTACACAGCATAGACTATGAATACTACAGTAAACGGTATGCTAACACCAGAGAATGTTCTGTGTAAGGATGGAAGACAGACACTTGGGGCTAGCCTCATTAAACTTGTGTAGATTGATTGATGAAGATTAAGCCACCCAAAAGGTGGCACGGGCATGAATAGCCCATAAGTGGTGGCCCTTTTGAGCCATTACCAGTATCAAGAGCTGATACTGGAGATCTGTGGAGGTGCGACTGGTGGATTTATGGGTACTGTCAGGGATGGGGGTTTATGGTTGGCCCTTGCTTTTGATACAACAACATTGATGTCCAGCAATGATAGGTGTTGCACAACTGAGAGGACAAGAAGCCCTGAAGCCAAGAGGCACAAAGAGTGGTGCGACATGAATGAAAACCAGTATCAAAGAATGAATCGCATCGTTGAGAGATGAATGGTAGTCAGCTTCCAGCACAGTCGGGGAATCCATCACCTCCCATATGCTTGAAATAAATACACGAACCTCATGGAAGCACAGAATGAGGCTACTCATATAGAATTAACATCAATAGAGCCAGGGCTAAACAGAAATATGCAAGACTCTAATATACAGGAATCACAAGGCGACAAATTCCTGTGAACTGGATACTCAAAAGGAAAGAAGAATGGCCTAGGAAGAAACCCAATCCCTCAGAGAAGATAACTGGTCAGGAATGGAGATAACAAACAGGCATTTAGGAAGAGAAGCGTTAACAAAAATACAGTGATTGAAGGAACTGGAAACATAAGGTGACTGGAATAAGCACAATCATAAGAAGGGAAAATATGAACATTGTTGCTGCTGTATTATTGTTATTTAGTGAGACAGCCATCTTAGAAAATTAACAAATCTTTTAACTTTTGTAAGAGCTGTTTATCTGGCTCCAGTAGAGGTGACTGTGCTATTGTGAATCAGGCATGGAAGTGAGGAATCAGATGTCGGGAAAACACTGACCTGACCTGCAACCTGGTAGTGGTTGACTGAAGTTAGAGCAAGGGTTGTTACTGTACTTATAGTCAGCTATCAGTTTAGTTCATTTGTAATGCACTCCATACACAAAATGTGAGCGGTAGGTCTAATAATAATTGGGAAGCAATTGAGATCATATATTATTCAGAATCATGGGTCTGCCTATTGCTACTGCTTGCTTCCTTTTAAAACAAACACCCAAGGCATGGGAATATGACACCCCATAAGCAGCATATTTTTCAGTAATAAGACAGCCAAGTACTAAAATGTTGTTGTAGCCATTTTCTTCATCACAGTGCATGAGATAGGCAGTGTTCGCCCCCTGGCAGTTTCTAAGATAACGATAGTACGGCGCCTCTGCTAACCGGTAGTTTGCCCCACAAACAAGCAGTTAGCCGCCTTCAACTGGCAGTGGTGCAGCTCAACACAAAGGCACCACCAACCACAACGAGCAGTTTGCCAGTTAACCAGGTGTCCACCTTGCGTTGACACTGGACGAGTCATCACTGCCGGACTATATAAAGGGCGCCGCCTCCCTGGGAGAGCCAGTCTCTCTCTTAGTGCTCTTGGAACACCTTTGTGTCTCTCACCCGTCGTCCCCCTTCAGCCAACGTTGTGTGACTGATGCCATGGTGGTATGGTAGCTGTCTTCAGTACACCAGTATATCTTTATGGTTTTTATTCATTGCTTACAGTTGATTTTTGCATTAATGTCATATTAACTTGTTCACCTGATAGCCAAGTATTGTCATATGTCATTTTTTGTTATTACTATTTCAGTGAATGTTTAATTATTTATTTGATGATTTTCATTTGTTTCCACCTGCATCTTACACACTGCAAGGCCAATAGCAGTATTTTTTTTATTTGTGTGAGGGAGAGTCATACCATCTTGGTTCAGTATAGCTGCGATACCACAACCTGTCACATACTTGCTCACATTTTTGTAAACGGTAACCAGCTACTCAGACAAAATCCTTTCGGTGAATGTATTATACATGGAGTTTTCTAAAGCTTTTGATAAGGTGCCACATGAAATAGTGGCAAGGAAATTACAGGTTCATGGAATAAATGTTAAAATATTATTATGGATAAAACAATGGTTGAAGGAAAGAAAACAAAGGGTCGTGCTAAATGGAAATGAATCTGAATGGAGAAATGTGATAAGTGGGGTGCCACAAGGGTTCATTTTGGGACCTACTCTCTTTGTCATAAATCAATGACAGATGAGAATATTACAAACCACATCATCAAATTTGCAGACACAAAGATTTATGGTAAAGTGGATGATGATATTGAAGCCTTATAAAGAGATCTATATGAACTCCATAAATGGTCAGAAGACTGGCAAATGCTTTTTAATATTGACAAATGCAAGACCATGCATGTGGGGCATAACAACCCATGCCACGACTATCAAATTAATAGCATTACATTACGATTGATGAAGAAAAGGACCTTGGAGTAAAAATCCACCACTCATTAAAAGTTGCACAACGGGTGGGTGCAGCAGTCAGAAAAGCTAACCAAGCTCTTGGCATAATCAAGCGTACTTTTAACTATAAGGAGAAGGTACGCAATGGTTCAACTGTATAAATCTCCGGTGCCCCCCCATTTGGATTACTGTATCTAAGCATGAAGACCTCATTTTCAGAACATATCTGCTCTGGAGAAAGTGCAACACCAGGCAACAAATCATCCCAGAGCTGTCATCTCCCGTTCCAGAAACTGTTGAGGGCCACAGGGCTAACAACACTACAAACCAGGCATGACTGGGCTGATCTTACTGAAACTTTTAATGTGCTGAACAAGTTAGAGGATGTTGATCCAGATATTTTCTTCAGAAGGTCAGATGTAACACAAGGAGCAATGGTTTCAAGCTCAACAAGCCACAATGTACAGTATGACTGAGAACAGAGGATGCTTTTTCACCCACAGGGTTATTAACCCATGGAGCCATCTACCTGCCGAAGCCGAAACTGCCAAAATTGTGTTGAGTTTTTAAATATACCTAGAAAAGGTCATCACGGCAAATAGGGGGAACTTCGACAAGCCACCGGCTTCCTGTTCTTGTCTGGGCCACTAGGGTTAGTGGACTTCAGGTAAATCGGGTAAATTAGACTTTTTTTAATATCTACTATACCAACAGAGAATATATGAAACCTACTCCTGCTCATTTAAATATTTCATAGAGCTTTTTAGAAGAAAGTATTAAGATTAAGTGTCCTTATATTGATATTTCACTGTAAGGTGGCCCTCCAATGAATGAAAGTCTCTCACAAAGTTTTAACATACTGTAAATGTAAACATAATTAACTTTCACTTCCTTGATCCTGTTTTTAACACCAAAACCTATTTAGATTTCGTAAAATAATTTTTTTTCTACGAAGTATGATTTTGATGCGATTCCCAGCTACAAAATACATAGAACATAATTAGATAACCCTAAAATATGGTCCAATTCTCCATGGTATAAAGGGTCCTGAGACTGCAGTAATCATTGGGGTTAGGGTATCCAAAGGATACCTGATCAACCAGGCTTGGTTGATCAACCATCAACCACTACTCATACGTCAGGCTGCGAGCAGCCGCGTCCAACAGCCTGGTTGATCAGTCCAGCAACCAGGAGGCCTGGTCGACGACCGGGCCGCGGGGACGCTAAGCCCCGGAAGCACCTCAAGGTAACCTCAAGGTAAGGTTCAATCCCTGTAGCAGGACTGAGGCGTTTGGGCAACGCTTTCTTTTACCAGATGCCTCTGTTTAGTTACCAGTAAACAGATACCATGTAGTTTGGTAACTGTTGTGGGTTGCATCCTAGAGAAGGTTAGTAGTTAGCCAAAAAAAGGCCTGAAACCCCACGTAGAGGCTTCCTGGTCCCGTAGAGAAACCATAACTGGTCGTGTGACTACTCACTCACCACTGGTCTCCTCACCTTACACACACACGTTACAATAACCAGAAAAGCCAACTCTTGCATCGACACACATCATTACCTGATGAGTGGACACGCCATATGAACAGGAAATGCAATATGAAGGTTGCCAAACACAGCCCGTCCACCGATCATCTGCAGAACAACAACACTGTAGCGACCAGGCGGCCTTTTTACGTGGGGGGGAAACTTGTTGTAGTTACTTGTCTGCAAGTGGACGGAGTGCGTACGATACTGGCCATTGGGTGCGCTGTCCCATTATTTTCCTGAGGGCCATTAGACCCCTTGACAGGGACATTTACAGCATAAAACATTCACTAGGCAGTGTGACCTTGTAATTGCCTAAATTAGACCTAGATATCTGCTGGAAATCTTATGTCTGCATTGTTCCTAATTTCCTTGTGTTTTTCGCGGGTGTGCTTTCTGTAAGGATCGTCATTATAAATAATAAATAAATAAATGTTTATTTAGGTAAGGTACATACATACAAGAGATTTTACAAAGAATGATAGATTTATAGATAGAGCTAGTACATACAATGCCTAAAGCCACTATTACGCAAAGCGTTTCGGACATATTATAATAAAGACTCATAATTGCCTTCTCCTGAGGTGTGTGGACCTAAAAACCTGTGTTTTTTTAAGTTGTTATGCGTTTTTATCTGACTTTGAGTGTGAGCAAACTTCCATTGCGCGAGAGGTGATGTTCTTTACCCTTGTTAGTGCTTTGTCTCCCAAACTCCAAAGTATCATGCTAGTTGGGTTAAGTCTTAATACTCTCCCTCACACTAAAATGATCTCCGCTCCTTAACCTAGTCTTTTTCCATTCCCATTTCACCCTTTCTACTGAAAATCAATTTCTTTCTGTAATCCATCCAGAGACACCAAAGAGAGAGTTCCTTTCCAAGCATGTATGGGCATTGGAGGAAAGTTTTGGAGGGAGAAAATACAGTAGAGGGGAATATTAGAGGGAAGAAAATGCGACAGAAGGAAAATTTCAAGTAACGGTGGAAGAAAATAGTTACCAGAAAAAGGCTGGGCCCGTTATTTATTTATTTATTTATTTATTTATTTATTTATTTATTTATTTATTTATTTATTTATGCATATACAAGAAGGTACATTGGGAATGTGAAGATACATAAAATAGTAATTACAGTCTTGTAAAGCCACTAGTACTCGCAGCGTTTCGGGCAGTTATAGTTATGGGGGTATTATTGATAGAAGGCGAGTGGGAAGGAAGATCTTAGAACAGTTTTCCCTCAAATGGGCACTTACCCGGAGTGCTTTTTAGAAGAAAGTATTAAAATTAAGTATCCTTATATTGATATTTCACTGTAAGGTGGCCCCTCCAATGAACTAAAGTCTCACAAAGTTTTAACATAGCTGTAAACATGATTAACCTTCACTTTTTTTTATCCTGTTTTTAACACCAAAAACTATTTAGATTTCGTAAAATAATTTTTTTTCCTATGAAGTATGATTATGACGTGATTCCCAGCCACAAAATGCATAGGATGTAGTTAAATAATAGGACAGGCCATGCTACATGTATGTATTTACATATTGAAGGATCTTATTGTACAGTTGGCTTCGGGGGAACCTCGATATAATTCTAAAGTATGTGTGTATATTACACACATATATGTGTGTATGTTACACACATACACACATGTATGTTAAACATACAAAGGACATATGTCCTCAATAAAATTGTTATCATGGTGGGAATCCCTGATTGCAGGCGATGAGTCACAATAACGTGAATGAAGTATGTTGACCAGATTACATACTAGAAGGTGAAGGGACGACGACGTTTCGGTCCGTCCTGGACTTGAGAATGATCCAGGACGGACCGAAACGTCGTCGTCCCTCCACCTTCTAGTTTTTTTATTATTATTATTTTCTACCACAGACGTAGCCACACATTTGGTCTGGTCAACATACCCTAATTGTTACTGAAGACTGCTTTAATAGTTATAGTTATTACACAGTTTTCTGTCATCGATAGGAACTTCAAAGAAAATAGTTTCTGTTATTACACTAACTATTTCTAGTTTATTTATTTATACAAAAAGGTTCATTGGGTTTGTGGGAGTACATAGTTTAGCTCATTTATTATGCACCCCATACCCATATTGCGGGCGGTAGGGGAAAGTGCTACAGAGTCACATAATGGGCTCAGGGACTGAACCCCACAATTCATTTAGCTAAGCAAGTTACAATCTTGATGAGCTAGTTACAAAATTCAGTATAAGTCGTCACATCATCAATGGGTTCGAGATCGACCACAAGTACAGTTTCTAAATTAAGCAACTGACATATGTGGAGAGCTAGTGTCAAAATTTATGTTTGTCCTGCACACCGCCCCCCATCCAGTGGGCAGCGGTGGATAGGTTACAATAGGTTTCTGCCCGAAACGCTGCGCGTACTAGTGGCTTTACAAGACTGTAATTACCATATTATGTATCCTCACATTCCCAATGTACATTCTTGTATATGCATAAATAAATAAAAATAAAAAAATAAATAAATAATCACTTAGTTACTACCTACAGTTAGCAAACTGGGGATATTTGGCTAAAATTTCTGGTAGCAGATCATTTTGAATGAAATATTGACACATCGTTGGAACATCGGGGCCGGAGAGGTCGGGGCCGGAGAAGAACCACCTCAGCAAAGGCAAGGACCCCAGCCTCCTGAAGCAGAACTTGGGCTGCCTGAGCCCCAGGAGGAGGACTTCCAAGCCCCGCTCCTACAGGCTCCAGGCAGAGATCGTCACAACCCTCCTTTCACCCGAGGCCGGCAGGTAGTATCGCCAGCAAATAGTATAGGATTAAGAATGTCAGAGACATTAGGCAGATCATTGATATATATAAGAAATAGGAGAGGTCCTAGGATGCTGCCCTGTGGCACTTCTACGGTTAATGGTAGAGTGGGAGAGGTTGGTTGCTACATATTACATAGATGCTACGTGCTACATAGTTCATCTATTTACCTTAGTTTACATTTTTTTTTGAGATATATACAAGAGTTGTTACATTCTTGTAGAGCCACTAGTACGCGTAGCGTTTCGGGCAGGTCCCTGGAATACGATCCCCGCCGCAAAGAATCGTTTTTTCATCCAAGTACACATTTTACTGTTGCGTTAAACAGAGGCTACAGTTAAGGATTTGCGCCCAGTAAATCCTCCCCGGCCAGGATACGAACCTATGTCATAGCGCTCGCGGAACGCCAGGCGAGTGTCTTACCACTACACCACGGAGACTGTAAACCTAATTGCCTCCACGAGGACAGGAAGCCTCATCGAACGATCACCTTGTTGTTATTCACCCGTGGGCCACCATCTCTGTGTAATGGCCTTAATGGTGAGAGAAAGTTGGTAGGTAGGCGAGTCCACGAGCCTATTTATTTTATTTTTTTATGTACAAGAAGGCCCATTGGGTTTGTGAGAGAAGTTAACATTGATGTTTTTACATTCTTGTAAAGCCACTAACACGCATAGCGTTTCGGGCACGTCCTTAATCTAACAGATAAGTATAAGTAGGTAATTTGTAGCAAAAATTGAAGAATATTAATAGGTATATTATAGGAAAACTTGAAGAATATTGATAGGTACATTGTAGCAAAATTTTCATTCTACATAACAACCGTGATATACGTTTATAGCAGTGATTATAATGGTAAATTGTATGGCTCAGACATATATATTGGGGGGAGTGGGTAGCACAAGATACAGTGTGAGTTTGAAGCACTAAGGTAGGAAACTATGAGGATGAAATTAGGTTCTTTTTGGTTTTACTTTTGAATAAGACATAGGTTGGACAAGAACAAATCCACAAGGGCCGTGACGAGGATTCGAACCTAGTTAGTTAAAACCTTAGTTAGTTTGGACAGTTTTTTAATTCGTTAGGGAGTGAGTTCCATAGACTAGGTCCCTTTATTTGCATAGAGTGTTAGCACAGATTTAGTTTGACTCTGGGAATATTAAAAAGATATTTATTTCTGGTGTGGTGATCATGAGTTCTATTACATCTGTCAAGGAAGAGTTTCACATCAGGATTTACATTTAGGAACAAGGTTGTGTACATATAAATGACACAAGAGAATGTGTGGAGTGAGTGTATGTTTATCATGTTTTGGGATTTAGACAGAGAGGCTGTGTGTTGTCTGAAAACAGAGTTTGTTATTGTTCTGATAGCAGGTTTTTGCTGGGTGATGATGGGGCTGGAGATAGTTTGCAGTGGTTGAACCCCATGCACAGATACCATATGTAATTTGCAATAATTATATATGGTATCTATTTATTATATACATATGGTATCTATTTATCTAAATTTCTATATGGTATCTAATTACATATGGTAATTTGTAATTACAAATTACCTCTAATTAATTTGTAATTAATTCTAATTAATTGCCTCTAATGGCAATTAGCGCTTCTAATTCTAATATCTAATTACCTCTAATTAATTTGTAATTAATTAGAGGTAATTTGCAGTAGGTACCTTAATATGGGTGAAAAAGATTTCCCATTATCTACCTTACAATGTAGGTTGTTGAGCTTGTACCGTAGATATTGTAATTATTAAATTAACTGGAACATCTCATTATCTACCATCAACCTGACGAGACTTTGGAGCAAGTATATTATATCTTAATATACTTCCTATAAGCTTGAAGCTGTTGCCTCTTGTGTGAAGGGAAGGGAATTATCAGAGCAGCGCCAAGCCATTACGACTATATAGCACTGGGAAGGGGTCAGGATAAGGATTTGGGATGGGACGGGGGAGGAAAGGAATGGTGCCCAACCACTTAGACGGTCGGGGATTGAACGCCGACCTGCATGAAGCAAGACCGTCGCTCTACCGTCCAGCCCAAGTGGTTGGCTGCCTCTTGTGTGAGTTACATTGTGCTTCAAAGAAGTGGTCGGTATTATGTCCTTTGCCATTTGTTTAATATGTTGTCTCAGTGGGATCAACTCTGTCATGTGTGGTTTGTAGTACATAGTCACATACTTACATTTCACCTAGTTGTACTGCGGGAAACTAGCGATAGCTCTTGGGTCCCGCCTCTCAGGCCATCTACTGAAGTGTTGCTTTGTGGTTTATCAACTGGTGTATAGGTTTCCAGAGCCTATTTGGCTGTGGAAACCTTCATTAAAAGCTGTGA